CTTTGCCCCTGAGCTAAATCCCCAGCCCCAGGATTTTCTATATATAACATCACGTTATCTATAAATACTGTTTAACTTTTTAAATCTGGATTATCTCTAGATGCCTTTTATTTTACTTTTCTTGCCAACTACTCTAGCTAGAATTTTCCATACAGTTTTGAATAGAAGTGTGGTGGCACATACCTATAATTCCATCACTCTGGGAGGCTGCAGCAAGAAGATCATGAGTTCAAGCCTAACTCGGGCAACTTAGTGACAGTGATACCCTGTCTCAAAAAGGTAAAGAAAAGAGCTGAGGATATTGTTCAGTGCAGTTCAATCTCCAGTACTGCCCACCCTGCAAGCGACAAAGTGGACATCCATGTCTTATAAAGCGTAAGGATTTTTATTCTCATTTCTTATGAATTTCAGACTTTGGTGACATTTAAAATTTCTTTCACCTTCTATGTTGATCTTATTTGGACCTCTATAATATAGAAAGTAAAGTATTATTTTTGTTTTGTGGTACTGGGGAATGAGGCAAGGGCTTTACACCTCCAGCCCTTTTTATTTTTTGAGACAGGGTCTAAGATGGCCAGGTTGGGCTCCAAATTGTGATCGTCCTTTCTCCGCCTCCTGGAGTGCTACAATTACAGATATTTGCCACCACACCTGGCCGGAAAGTGAACTTTTTGAGGACATTTTCTGTTGCTAACTTTTTTGTATGGCTATAAAATAAGTCTCAGTTCCAGAATAAGTGCTTGTCAATGTTACCTTATTTTTTAATAGATAAATCTGAAATTTTGTTTCTTCCTATCTACTAAAGTCTTTATTTACAAACCCCAACAACAAACCCTAAAGATAATATAAAAGATGTTTCTGATCTTACAGAGTTTATTTTGAGGTCACTTGGAATAAAGAGCAAACTATAGTTTTAATATACTGATAGAAAGAAATACAAGAGGATAAGGTTCATGCTCCAAAATTGTCAAGAGGCATTTTTGTGAGATTAGTTCTCCTTTATTATAGTTGCCCTTTTCCTTCTCTCTTTTCTTTTTTCAACTTTTTGGTACTGAGGAACTAATCCAGAGCCTCAGACTTGCTACAGAAGCACTCAGTGAGCTAAATCCCCAACCCCTGTTCTCCCTAGTTACAAACATAACTTCAAAATATCCTAATTTATCTTAACCAGCTAGGGATATTTTGTGAATACATTTTTAAATTTATAATTATTTTTCACCTATGCCAACTTTGTGATATATTCCATAATTACAGGTGATTGTAGCCTTCAATTTAATTTGGTGCTTCAGTTTCAAAGAACTACTCTGATTTTATTATTTCAGAATTTCATTTAAGTTCGAATCAACAAACATACTTTAACTGTCTGTAATGGGCTGGGACTATACTAGGTCCTAAGATGAAAAAATCATTAATTAAGTTTCTGTCCTCAAAAAGTTTATTCTCTAGCATTAATGAGTAACCAATGTTCACTTTTTATGATTTCAAAAACTTTGTGTATAGTATGCTTTATTTATACATAATCTGTTATCTGGCTACTTGCTTTTCTTTCCTGATTACTTCTTAGGAACTTTATTAGCTTTTCTGTTTTCTAGGTGTAGGCAGTTTCCCTGAAGTAGGATACTGATAGTAATTTTAGGAAGAGAAGTTTATTGGAATTCCTTCAGGGAACAGTGCTCACCAGGAGCGAGCAAATTTTTTGTGTAAAGGACTAGAGTAAATATTTGTGGCCTTGTGAGCCAAATACAGTATCTTCTTTTGACATATTCTTTTTTTTTAAGAAAAAATAACCTTTTAATATGGAAAAATCATTTTTCATTCTCAGGCTATACAAAAATAGACATGGTACCCGGCCTTTGAAAATATGTTTTGCAAATTGCTAACTCTTACTGGATAGTTCTTAAAACAAGGATTTCATGTTCAAATAAACTTGGCAAGTTTTGTATCATTCTCCTGGAAATTTTCAAGGCTTTGGTTGGCATTATTATTAAAAAGCCCATTGGTACAAGCTTGGTTTTCCTTGGAGCTTTGTGCTTCTTTTTGTTTTATTTTGAGTGTATTACCTACTTGCATTCAATAGACTTATTAGCTTCTCAGAATGCTGGCATACATGATTAGATCACCTCTTGATCATAATTTATATTGAGACTTTTTTTATTATTATTTTCTTTTAAATTGACTTTTTTTCCCAGTTCTACTCAAAAATTCATTTAAAAATGTTCTACATACTTATATGACTAGATTGTTAAGTTTAAAATTTAAACATGCAAAAAGAACCAAATTGTCTTTTTCAGCAGTTTTTTCTGTTATAATTTTATGATACTCCTGTTTATTTTTAAATTGTTTTCTCTCTTAACCAGGAAAAGTGGGTTGAAGTTGCCTCAATGAAAATACCTCGAGCAGGCATGTGTGTTGTGGCAGTCAATGGTCTTCTCTATGTTGCTGGAGGCCGATCTTCTAGCCATGATTTCTTGGCCCCAGGTACTTTGGACTCAGTGGAAGTTTATAACCCTCATTCAGACACATGGACAGAAATTGGTAACATGATCACTAGCCGTTGTGAAGGGGGTGTTGCTGTACTGTGAAATACAAACTGTAAGAGCACAAGGAACATTTTGTAAATGTAAGATCTGACCTTTTTTTTTTTTCCTTTTAGAGATAGGGTTTCACTATGCAGTTCAGGCTGGCCTTAAACTCACTTTGTAGCCCAGCCTGGCCTCAAACTTGAACTTGCAGAGATACTCCCACCTCAGTCTCCCAAGTGCTAGGATTACAGACATACACCACCACGCCTAGCAAGATCTGACCTTTTGCAAATCAAACATATACCTATTTGGTGATAGGTCTCTCTTGATTCTATTGAGCTTTCCATGTATTAGGTAGATAAGTGACTAAAGAGTAAGTTTTTTAAAAACTGAGAAAGGAGGGGCTGGGGATTTAGCTCAGCAGCAAAAGCGCCTGCCTGGCATGTGCAAGGTCGTGAGTTCAGTTCCCGGTACTGAAGAAAAACCAAAAAATAAAAAATTAAAAATTAAAAATTAAAAAAAAACTGAGAAAGGAAATAGAATTTATCAATGAAGAGCTTGCACAAATGTCAAACTTCCCATAGAAATGCTGTTTATGCTCTAGAGAATTTTCCGGTTAGAGTCTTTTTGAGACAGAGTCTCATTATGCGGTTCAGGCTGGCCTTGAGCTCACTTTGTAGCCCAGGCTGGTCTCGAACTCCCAACAATCCTCCTGCCTCAGCCTCCTGAGTGCTGGGATTACAGGGGCGAGCCACTACACCCAGCTAGTTAGAGTCTTAAATGTAAACATTGTAAGAGTTGGGGACATAGCTCAGTGGCACAGCGCCTGCCTGGCAAGCACAATGTCCTGAGTTCGATTCCCAGTACCAAAAAAATTCTTTTTTAAAAAATTGTAAACATTGTTCACTAGAAGCTTATGGGAGAAAAGTCCCTTTGGCTCTTTCCCCAGTGCACTTCAAATTGTGAACTAGCCTATATATAATGTAGAAATAATATCCATGAAACAGTTTAATGATTCTTAAATATTCATGATTCAATCCACAGCACCATTTTTCATGACCACAGTTCAACCTGCAAAGAAAAGGGAGTGAAATAACTTCTTACTTTGATAGCAGGGTTTTCACCAACCTCATTTTATTGGCAACGGATATACTACGAGAAATGTGTGGGAAATATCTGGCTATTTATAGTTTTTGCTTGTTGACAGCCATTTTATTTATTTATTTATTTTTTGCCTTTTTGAGACAAGGTTTCACTATGCAGCTCAGGCTGGCCTTGAACTCACTTTGTAGCCCAGGCAGGCCTTGAACTCACAGTGATCCTCCTGACTCAGCCTCCCAAGTGCTGGGATTACAGGAGTGTGGCACCACACCCTTCCAAGCCATATTATTTTTGTTTTGATTGAGAACACAAATAAGGAATTAATAGTTTCTGACAGTCCTTAGGTTGTTACAATAGGTCAAAGAGCCAAGCAGACAGCATATGTACCTAGAAATGTCTTCCTTAGTTTTTAATGTAGTCACCATTATCTCCTTGGTGATATCCTAGTACTTGGGGAGCTGAGGCAAGAGGATTACTAGTTCAAGGCCAGCCTGGGCTATGTAACAAGACCCTGCCTTAAAAAAATAGTTTGGCTGTAGGAAGAGGGCCTTTTTTTTTTGTACCAGGAATCAAACTCAGGACCTTGTGCTTGCCAGGCAGGTGCTTGTGCCACTGAGTTATATCCCTGACCTAGGAAGAGAGACTTTTATTAGATTAGCAAGCTTTGTGAAATTTACTTGTACTTGGACAGGTCTAAGTATGAGCTTACTGCAAAAGCTACGGCTTCGCTTGGAGAAGGTTGAATTATTGGTGAAATTTAGTTCTCATTACACCTAGTACAATTTAAAAATGGCGTGGTAAAGGAAATATTTTACACTGCATTGGCAGAAATATAATGACAATATTTGGGTTTAATAGGCCCAGAAGATCCTTAATAGTTAATTGTAAATAAGCTTATTACTTCCTAGGAAATGACAGATTATTTTTAAAAGAATGTATAAAGTATCTAGCTTTTTTCCTGTATTACTCATTGACTTAGTTTATTAGTAGTATTTCTGTGGTAGGTTGGATTACACAGGCTTTCTAACTTCTTGGATATACACACTAGCTTTGCTTTTAATTGCACTTTCTGGGAGATGATTAAAGTTATCTTCTTCCAAACTGTTTGGTTAACTCATGTTTCTAAGTATCTTGTCTAGTCAGTCATGGCGGCACATGCCTATAATCCCAGCATTTGGGAAAAGCTGAGTCAGAATTGCTGCAAGTTTGAGGCCATCCTGGAATACACAGCAAGACCCTATCCAAAAAATAAATACTCTGCCCAGTCTGCTCTTAGTAGCACATGCCTATAGTCCCAGCTAATTAGGAGGCTGAAGCAGAATGACTTGAGGCCAGTAGTTCAAAGCCAGCTTAGGCAATATAGCCAGACTACTAGAAGGTGAAAGGAAAGAAAAAATAAATTAGTTTAAAAAAAAAAAAATAGTGTGGTGGCATATATTTCTAACCCCAGCACTCTGGGAGGCTGAGGATATAGTTAAGTGTGAAAACCCTGGGTTCAATCCCCCGTATCAAAAAAAACCCCTAAAGGGCTGGGGATTTAGTTCAGCGGCAAAAGCGCCTGCCTGGCAAACGCAAGGTCGTGAGTTCGGTTCCCGGTACCGGAGAAAAACCAAAAAAAAAACAAAAACCCTAAAATATTTAATGAAATGTACTTTTTTTTCCCCCCAGTATCGGGAATCGAACTCATGACCTTGCGTTTGCCAGGCAGGCGCTGTGCCACTGAGCTAAATCCCCAGCCCCTTGAATTGTACTTTAAAATTAGCTTTATTACAGAATACACTATAATTCACTTGATTTTATTTTGGGAGATAATACATTTAATTGAAATTAGGGAAAAGCTTGAAGTTTGTACAATACTCATCACTTCAGAAGCAATAAATGTTTCTTCATCAAAACAACCTGAAGATGAGCTGAAGAGCTTTCCTTTCACATCAGTCTGAACTAGACTGTTATGCATAATAAAGATCTATGCTTCTCAGTAATTAACATGAGATCTAGCTCTCTGATACTGCATTCGTATTTAATGCAGAAATTTAAACAAATTTGACTCATACTTCTGGAGGGTAGAAGTATGAAATCAAAATGTCAGCAGTTCATTCTGTCTGAGGGCTGTGAGGAGATGATCTGTTCCATGCTTCTCTTCTTGGCTTATAAGTGGCCATCTTCGTATTTAAATGGCATTGTCTTCCTTAATTGGTGTCATTTACAAATCTTCCCTTCCATAAGAATGTGAGTCATATGGTGTTAAAGCATATGCTAGGGTTCTAGGGCTTAGAACTTCAACAAACAATTCAACCAGCGTTTAAAAAAGTAAACAAGTTACTGCACTCTTCAGAGCAGGAATCATTACAAGAAATTGTGTATATAATTTACCTAAGAAGCTTGTTAACTGGTATTTGAATACTTATTATAAGGCGATAACATATTCTAATACAATTCTCTGATGTATACCATTTACAAATGTTTTTTCTCTTCCTAAACTCAAAAGAAATTCAAGAGAATAGGCTTTCAGATTAAAATCCAAGGTGTTGCTCTTGCTGTTTTTATGTAAAAAGCCTCTGTGAGTTAAAAAAATGTAGAATTAGATAGGCCTGCTTATTAGCATATCCATAAGACTCCAGGTTGGGTTTTCCTTTCTAATTTATATGCAGTGGCTTTATTCTTCTGAATATTGACCAACTGATATTATTGTTTGGTGGTAAGATTAAATTGCATCTGTAGCAGGCCAAATGCTGATAACAAATGAAAAATATATCAGGTTTTTTGTTTTCTTTTAACATGGCTTTCCCACTAGACACTGCTCCCTACCGACTTTAGAGCCATATATCCTTTCAGCTCATAAAACTATTATACTAGGTAAAATAAGCTTGGACATGTAACTCAAAAGGACAGCTGCTAGAATCACCTTTCATTTCGGGTACCCGTTAATAGATTTACCATGTGAGCTGGGAGAATATGTGTGTTCTTTTTACTGATCATAATGCTCTAACAAAGGGGATTTTTATTTTTTTTATTTTTTGGAGACAGGGTCTTGCTCTGCAGTTTAGGCTGGCCTCAAACTTGCAGCAATCCTCCTGCCTCAGCTTCCTGAGTGCTGTGATAACAGGAGTACTGGGATTATAGGTGTGTGGCACCACACCCAGCATAACACAGGGAATTATTTTGTCTTTTTCAAGCTCATGCTTAATTAATTACTAGAAATGATTTTTTGTTTCATCTTTTTAAGATAGGGTCTCACTATGCAGTTCAGGCTGGTCTTGAACTCACTTTGTAGCCCATGCTGGCCTTGAACTTGCAATGATCCTCCTGCCTCAGCCTCCCAGTTGTTTCATTTGTTTTTTGAGACAAGGTCTCACTATGCAGTTTAGGGTTAAACTCACTATGTAGCTCATGCTGTCCTCAAACTGTTATTCTCCTGCCTTAGCCTTCCAAGCACTGGAATTACAGGTATGTGCCACCACGCCTGGCTGGAAATAATTTTAGAAATGCAGAACAATCTATGAAGAACAAATTCTTTGTAATTCGGTAAGCCCCCCTATTACTACGTTATCCTTCTTTTACTCTTTAAAAAAAAAAAAAAAAATTACCACTGTGGGGGAAGGGCAAATACCAATAGAAGAAAGGTGATACCAAAATGTAACTTCCGAGAGCTTGTAGGCAGGTAGGTAAGGGTACATCCCAAAATAGTGGAGTGCTTGCCACCATGCTCAAACCTTGTGTTTGATCCCCAGCACTCCACTTGCCCTTCTTACATACACATAAACTTGTAGCCAACATGGTAATGTTATCAACAAAGTAATTTTATATTTATTCTACTTGACCAGGTCTCTTAGATCCTTTCTCTGGATAAATATCTTGAAGTATTAAAGTGACTGCAAATGACAAAACAGCCACTAAAGTGACTACTATCCTCAGGGCTTTGAACCAATTGGGATAATGCGGCAAGAGAAAAAGTTCAACATGTAATGTTACCCCCAAACCTATTATTACTGTGACTATGGCTTCACTGAGTCTTTCAGAAATGAGGAAGGCAAACCATGAAAACACAATAGGAGCTACACTGTTAGCTAAATTAAGGTAGTCTGGTTTGGCTGGACTACCTTCTGTCAGAGTAAAACCCCATCTGACCCCTCCTAAAAAAGACAGGAAACTGGCTCCATAAGCCATCTGAGTAAAAGCTAATGCAGGGATATAAGACTTTGTCATGACCATGATTAGTGGTGGAGCAATGAAAGGGATTAGTCCTGCCAGAGTTATATACAATGCTGGCTTTGGGCTTTCAGGCAGATAAGTGATGGTAATTGGTGGCCTGGCTGGAAGTACTTCTTGCTCCTGCTTCTTCTTAAAGCTGCATGAGGATGTATGATAGCATTGTGCCTTACTCATACACACTGAAATTGATGGAAAAGACTGAGGCCTTGGACACAAAGGGGAAAGCTTCCGCTGGAGAGGTGTCTTGAGAGAAAGTGTATCTGTTTTCCTGCTGGCTTCTAGTATCATTGTGAAAGGATACTTCAGCATCTGTAAGGAAATAGAAGCAAAAGACAAAAACAAAACAAAACCCCACCAGATTTTTCAGTTAATTCTAATCTGAAACAATTTTTAAAAAGAAAAGAAAAGCAAGCTAACAAGAACTGTTTTCTATTAGCATAAGACGTTTTACAGACAAGTTGTATTAACTAGAGTAATATTACTTGTGGTATTAAACAGCTGTACAGTGCACCCCCAAAATATATACAATTGCTATATGTTAATTAAAATTTTAAAATATATGAAAAATATTGGGGGCTGGGGATTTAGCTCAGCAGCAAAAACGCCTGCCTGGCAAGCGCAAGGTCGTGAGTTCGGTTCCCAGTACCGGAGAAAAACCAAAACAAAAAAAAAAAAAAAAAAAAAAAAAAAAAAGAAAGAAAAATATTGCTAAAACAAAAACTGCTATACAACATGCAAAAAGAAAGTAGTGAATAAGCTGGGCATAATGGTGCACACCAGTAATCCTAGCACTCGGGAGGCTGAGGCAGAAGGATCATTGCGAGTTCGAGACCAGCCTGGGCTACAAAGTGAGTTCAAGGCCAGCCTGAACTGCGTGGTGAGACTCTGCCTCAAAAAGACGCACCTTCCCCAATCAAAAAAAGCAGTAGTGTATAGAAACCAGTGATGTATTTTGACCTATCAGTAACTTTACCCCAATAAGAGATGTGAAAGAGGAGCAAGTAAAGATTACACCTTTAGCATTTGGCCTCCTAAACTGCCTCTTCTAGTTTGTAAATTGCAGAAGCAGCACTGATTACCATGACAATGCTATATTATGTACAGAAAAGACAATCTACCTTCTAACTTAACTTTATAAACACTGCATACTTTCCATAGCTCCATGCCTTTGTACATGTCTCTGCCTAGAATTCTAGCTCCTATTTTTTTTTTTTTTTGGTACCGGGAATGCAGCTCACAACCTTGGGCTTGCCAGGTAGACGCTGCACTGCTGAGCTATATCCCTGGCCCCCTTCCATTTTTCTATGTAAGAATTTACCAGCACTTGGGAGCTGAGGCACAGGATCACTTGAATTCAAGGCCAGCTTGAACTGCATAACAAAACCCTCTCTCAGAAAGACAGAAATTTACCTTATCTTTCAAAATTCAGCTGAAAGCTTATCTGAACCCTTCTCCAGTCCAATTTAAAGTTCCTTAGTAATTTTTTTTTTTGGCAGGCGTTTGTGCCACTGAACTATATCCCCAGCCCATTTAGTAATCCATCCCCACCCCACCCCACCCCCACCCCCGTACCGGGAATCAAACTCACGACCTTGCGCTTGCCAGGCAGGCGCTGTGCCGCTGAGCTAAATCCCCAGCCACCATTTAGTAATTATTCAAGTGTCCATCACAATTTTTCTTTTTCCTTTCTTTTTTGTTTTGTTTTTTTGAGACAGTGTCTCACCATGTAGTTCAGGCAATCTTGAACTCATGGCAATCTTCCTGCCTCAGCTTCTGGAGTGCTGGGACTACAAGTGTGTGCCACTATATCCAGCATCAGTTTTTCTTAAAGTGATAGTAAATTGTGTATTTACTTGTCTTTGTCTTAGTACATTCAAGAATTAGGGCCATAGATTTTCTTTGACTTTAAGAAAAATCCCAGTTCCTTTTATGGCACATGGTGAAGACCAAAGTAAACACCTTTCCTTCTCATTCTGTGCTTTAGTGAACAGATGTTGGACTTCAACTAAGCAAAATACTAACTAAAAATGTGTTATATGAAATTTAAAAATGCAATTCTTCTAGTATGTGTAGAATGATCACATCCTGTGGCCTTTCCCCCTTTTGTTTCCATTTGGAATGCGCCTTTTTCAGCTACATGTATGGACCATTCCTTCATTTTTGACCTCTGTAATAAAGTGCAATCCCACATCTACTTTTGATTCCCCTTCCCTGCTTTACAGTTCTCCATAGCACTGACTTACTAAATATTTTACTTGTATTCTACCTCCCCACATGCACTCTGGAATACATGATACTAAAGATTTTTGTCTCTTTCATTGCTGTTGCCCCAGCCAGACCTGTTAGCAAACAGTGCTTAGTACTTACTGAGTAAACTAACCTTTGATGATGCTTGAGAAAACCTCTGAATGAAGTGCAGCATACTGGCCCCTACTAAAAGTCTTCTTCAGGAATATGCCAACCAGTTCTCATTAAAATATTCTATAGCTTAGTAGACAGGCTGAATCAGAAGCATGTTGCTGTGCATAAAAGAAGACATCATTTCATGTATTAATTTTTTTTTGGTACCAGGAATCCAACCCAGGCTTGTGCTTGCCAGGCAGGTGCTATGCCACTGAGCATTCCTGGCTCATACATTAATTTTTAAAAGTAATTAAATTATGAGAATTTCTTCCATACAACAGAATTCTCTTTGAAAATAATCATTAAGGATTTCAAAGAATTAGTAACATATTAAGGAAACAGATCTTTTCCTTCCCTGAGCTATTCTTGTAGCTTTGGCTGTCATATGCCACAAAGAATATATAGCCAGGTATGGTAATAGCAGCTAGTCCGGAAGCCAAGGCAGGAGGAGCAAAAGTTCAAGGCCAGCCTGGGCAACTTGGCAAGACTCTGTCTCCAAATAAAATTTTAAAAAAGGACTAGGGATGTGGCTTAGTGCTTCCTAAGTTCAATTCAAATACCACCCTAAATAAATAAGTGAACTGAGCAAGGTCACAGCTTCTCTGTTCCCTTTAGTTATCTATCCCCCTTAAGCAAAAGAAATTTGTTGGTTAAGGTTCACATCTCAAAATTATGATAGCAGGAAGAAATACAATTTAAGGGCCGAGGATGTAGCTCAGTGTACAGCACCTGCCTGGCAAGCACCAGGTCCTGAGTTCGATTCCTAGCACCAAAACTGTAACTACATGATTTATATATATTAACTTTTAATGCTTACAATGACTTCATTAAGGTGATATGAGGGACAGTTCCCACTAAGAGTATAGACTTTGGTGCAGTTCAGCACTTTCAAAAGAAGGGGATCTGAGCTGGGCATGGTGGCGCATGCCTGTAATCCCAGCACTCAGGAGGCTGAGACAGGAAGACATTTGAGTTTGAGCCCAGCCTGGGCTACAAAGTGAGCTCAAGGCCAGCCTGAACTGCATTGGGAGACCCTGTCTCAAAAAGATTAAAAAAAAAAAAAAAAAAAAAAGGGAGGGGGTGGAATCTGAGAGTATAGCAGGAGGCCCTGGGTTCAATTCCTGACACCCTGGGGGGTGGAATAAAAACAGAAGAGGCGGCTCAGGATATATTTTAGTAGCACAGCACCTGACTGGCAAGCCTGAGGTTCTGAGTTCAATTCTTGGTACCAGAAAAGGGGAAAAAACAGAAGAGTAATAATAACTACTTCATAGAGTTATTGTAAAAATTTTTGTAAATACATGTAAGAGCCGAGAATTGTTGCTGACAAAATAAGCACTCAAAAAGCATTAGTTGTTACTCATTTTTTTGGGTCTTTTTGTGACAAGGTCTCGCTACACAGTTCAGGCTGGTCTTGGATTCATTTGTAGCCCAGGCTGGCCTCAAACTCACAGTGATCCTCCTGCTTCAGCTTCCCGAATGCTGAGATTACAGTAGTGCGGCTTTTTTTTAATTTTATTTTTTGTTGTGAATGAAAACTTGAATCTAGGTATGATAGGTTCCCTGTGCCCTGCTCTTAACCAGGGTTGAACTTAGGGAGGGCCTCGACCATCTTAAATGAGCTCTTTACCACTGAGTTACAAACACAGCGCTTCTTAAAATTTTTGAGTCTTTCTAAACTGCTGAGCCTGGCTACAAACCTGTAATCAATCCTCCTATCCTGCCTCATTGGCACACAGCGCCAGGCCCAGTTCCTTTTTTTTTAAAAGAGGGTTTCCCTTTGTAGTTCAGGCTGACCTTCACTTGTGATCTTCCTGCCTCAGCTTCCCAAGTGCTGGGATTACAAGCGTACACCACCACAACCAGCTCTCCAGTTCTTCTTAAGGAAGAGAAATGAGGTGTCTAAAACTTGCATCTACTGCTGGATTTTTTTAAAAAAAAATTAAAGCCAGGTGTGGTTGCACACATTTGTAAACCTAGCACTCTGGGAGGCCTGGGGTAGGAGGATTCCAAATTCAAGCCCAACCTGGGCAATGTATCAACTTAAGGAGATCTCGTCCTGTCCTTACCCCTACTGCTCCCCGCAAAAAAGCCGTAAGATGTACCTCAATTCGAAAGTCACAGGTGCAACCCTCAGAACTGGGAAAAAAAAAATATATTGATTACAGATCTTACAGCAGCGTAGAGAAATGTACACAAGACAATGTTTTAGTTGTGTACGTTAGGAAGTAAGTAGTGATTTTAATTCTCCGAGGCTTCCACGTTATCTGGATGATCTCCCGCCCTCACTGTCGCTCAAAAATCATTTTCTCCATAAGGACTTCCTAGACGACATCCTTTCAAATCTCAATCCCCCTCCACTTCTGAAAACTTCCTAAGCACGGTGCCACGCACTTTTCAAGTAATAAGTATTACAGCGCAAAGTGATAGGCCTAACGCCTAGGGAGGACAGTGATACAAGGATTAAGGACAAAGACTTCAAAATTAATCCTCCCAATTCAGGAGAAAACACTCAAACGTTCCCATTTCCGCGAATCGAAGACCGCAAACTTCAAGCCTCAGGCCTACATTTTAGGAAAAGAGGAGGAGTTTAAACCAGGATCCTCTTTCCTATTTACTACCACCGCTTGGCTATCCGCTTCCCATGCTCACCCGTGGCGGCCCCGATTCTTGCCCGGATCGCGTGGTCACGTGGTCAGCTGAACTGCAGGAAGAACCTGCGATTCGCGGAAAAGCATTTCCTGCCGGTCGAGTTAGCACCCTACTTCCTGCGAAGCTAAAAACTGAGTCCGGGTAGGTATTTGACTAACGCTAAATGGTTCCCACGCCCGGCCTTCCGTCTTGGGGACATTTTTTAAATCTTTATTTTGGTTGAAGTCAGCTGTTGAAGAAGATACCTGATCAATCTCTTTTTCAAGATTCCCACCCAGCCGAATCTGCCTGCAGAGTTCTGAAACAATCTCAGAATGAAGGTAGGAGATTTGGAATTTAGGTCAAGTGTGACTTGGCCAAATTGCCATCTCCCAGTCTTTTTTTTCCCTAACTTTTCAAAACAGCCGGGTTTTGGATCGACGGGACTAGTGTTACTGCGCCTGAGAGTCCTTTACTACTACTGGGGCAGGATGCTTTTTATTTCCATTCTTTTTGGTAGGGCCCTAGAAATTTCCGTTAAGGAATAAAGAGCCAAGGGGCAGCAGTCTCATTCTCTGACTCGAGCTGCCGCGTTTAGAACCTTGAACGGGGCGGGGTATCAGAAAAAACTTCTCATTCCTCTTATCACCCTAGGTTTGAATTTATTTCTAGGCTGTGTGACCTTGAATAACCCTTTCCTTCTCAGAGTCAGTATCAGCCTATGAAAGGAAATGACACCAGCAATTCGAGTGTCCTTCCGTCTCGAAAGAGAAAGCTGAAGACAAATTTAAGAGCTTATTTCTCTGGGAGCCCGTGCCAGTTCCTGCGCTCCTGAACTCTCCGTAGCCTCGCTTCCTGGCTGCCATCCCTCACGTGGTTTAGCTTCCAGGGCATGATTACGGCACAGCACAATCTTCGTAGTAGTAACCGCTGGGAGCCCCGCTAGGCTTTCACTTTTATTTCCTTCTCTGGCAAGGCAGCGCCGCCCCTTCCCGTCGCGTGATACCCAATGAGACTTTGGGCAGGAAAGACGGCCTCTCCGCCGTAGTAAAAGCGCAGGCTCCGTCGGAAACCGGCCCTGCGCTCGCGGTGCGTCGCCCGCGGTGCCCACCCCTCGCCCAGGAACTACCACTCCCGGCGGGTAGCGCGCCGGCCGCGGCCGCGCAGGCTTCGGGAACCGGGCCCTGTGGCCCGCTGGGGGCTGGAGTCTCGACGCGCGCAAGTGAAGGAAGGCCCGGAAGGTGGGCAGGGGTCGGGAAAAACACGCTCTCTCGATACCGAGTTGGTAGTACGGGTAGAGGTAGTTGAGCGACGCGTGCTTGGTCGAGGCGGGCGTCGGGGGTGAAGAATGAATGGTCTGCGAAGCCAAGGCACCCGCGCACGCACGCACACCCCGGCACTCATTCACACGCGCCCGGCCCGCGCACTCGGCGGGGTGGGGGGGATGAGGGCGAGCACTGAACTCGCTTCGTTTCTGTCAGGCTGCACGAGGAAAAGCCAAGGATTTAACTGCACAGGGGTGAGGGTGACCGTGCATGTTGTTCCTAGCTGCGCTGGAGGGAGCCGGGGACGAGCCAGGGAAAAGCCGCCGTTCGCCAGCTCAACGTTGACGGCGTGAGGCGCGGCGGTCCCCCGCCGGGTGGCGGAGCGGGCCTTGCGCGCGTGCGCTTGCGCGCCGGCGGGTGGGCGTGCGCCGGCGGGGTTGGGGGCGGGCCGGTCGTCGCTCCTCCTCCTCCTCCTCCCGCTCTGCCCCTCCTGGGCCTTGTGGGCCGGGCAGCCATTTTGGGAAGAGCTTTGTTATGGTTGTGGGTTAGTCACCTCTGCCGGGCCGAGAAGCTGGGAACGCGTCCCCGGACGCCGCGTCTCGTCCTTGGTTGTAACCCTGCCGCTGCCTGGTGAGTTGGAGTCTCGGCCAACGGAGCAGTGGGGGACCTTGGAGTAGTCCGGCGCCGGGCTCCGCCCGGTGCCTAACCAGCCATATACTAAAACTAGTTGGAAGAAGGTCCCTCACAGGTGGTTGGGCGTCGGTCCGCCCGGGGAGACGCGAGCGGAGCCCACGGGCGGCGAGGCTCGGACGCCCCCACCCTCGCGCGGGAGCTTCGCCTGCGAGTGTGGCCGCGGCTTCGCGAGAGCTCTCCGACTTCAACTTCGGTCTTCGGGTCGGAACGCTCTCCTGCGGCTCTCCGGCTCCTCTCCAGGTTAGGGCTCGGTAGTGATTGAGTAGCTTGGTTTAGGGTTGCCTTTTCTTTCTTTAAAATGAGAGCCAAAGCCTTTTTTTTGTTCTCCTGTTAAGGAAAACCTGAGGAGGAAAAAGTCGTGTGAGTCAAATGTAGGGTATCCGAAGAGGGGAGAGGCTCGAGCGTTCATGCCCGACGTCCTGGTTCTCCCCGTGGAGAAGTGTTTTCTTTTACATTAAGCCTGTTCCGTGTTAAACCCTCTGCCCGCAGGGAGGGTAGGAAACCGGTTGATCTTCGAGTGTTTTACCAGCTCTCCCCCATTTTTACCCCCCCCCCTTGAAATTCAAAAGAAAGCCTGAATCTAAAATGGCTGTAGCTTGGGGAAGTACCCTGCTCTCCGATAACTTAAATATGTCGTAACATTTTAGTCGTTTTTGCCTGTGAGACATTAACTGGATCTTTCGATTTTGTTGTTGTTGTGTTATTTGTAGTTTGTCTGGAGATTTACAGTAGGTGAAAACAAAAATGGAGTTTACAAAGTTTGCTAACTCTGAAAGTTTTACATAAGAATGGGTGCGGTTTTGTTTTGGTTTTTTGGTTGTTGCTTATAGTTCTGAAACTCCGTTCTGGTGTTAGTTTTATCTGTGAACTTTATGCTGCGGGGTTGGCTTGTCATATTTGTTGAAACACTTGCTTTTGATACGTGTTGCTTACCAGGAAAACACAAAGTTAGTAATAACTCATCTTTTAGTTTAGTAATACTTTATAAATCCAATCCCAAAGTATAGTGACTGATAGCCTTCAATAGAGTTAAGTTTGTAATTTAATGGTACTTGAAATCGAGTGCTGTTAAGTTTGGAACATTTACAATATTGTAAGATAATTCAAGTGAAGAAGTAGTTTAGGTGTGGAGTGAGAGTGAGTGTTGTGCCTTTTTTAAAAAAGGATGTCTTTTTGTTGTTGTTTTTATTTAAAAAAAAAAAGGAGGTCCAGATGTTTAATTGAAGACAGTGTATACCGGTATACCATGGATTGAAAACAAAAAACAGTAAGTTTCAGTGTTTGGAAAGATGCTTGAGTTTCAGGCTGCTATCTCTTTGAAAGATAAAATAGTGAAATATAGTAAAATGTTAATTGTAAACGATAACTTAGAAGTTAATGGTAAAATAAGCTGTCAGCTTTCCTAAGGAATCAGTTTTAATCATTCCTTCGTACATTTCTTTCTCTTTCTTTCTTT